AAAATTTTAAGGCTTCATTTCTCCAAGGGTATCAAAGTTTTTAATACTAGATATTTACTGAAGTTTAATTATTGATCAGTTATTGTGTTGCAATAATAAAAATAATACTACCTCATACAGAGTGTCTAAAAATTTATTTTAAATAATTTCCAGCTTTAAATGGCAGTAACTTGTTTAATTTAAATAGAACACCCTGTATGTTTTAGGAGAATCAGATGCACAATTTAATTGTTCATCAAATTGTGTTATACCGTTTTTTCCTATCCCTTCAAGTTTTCGTAGAAAATGCATTTTCTTATAATTTAGGCCTCATTTATCAAAATACCCATGGATATTGTTATTTTAGATTGTTTTTAAAGCAACAAATGTACAGGTGCTAAAAACGATAATATTATACCAGTATTGGTATACAAAAATAAAACTATTTATATCTTTATAAAAGAGAAACATTAATTAAATATACCGCCATTATTTCCGCCAAAATATTAATTAATTACATATTTAATTGTATTAGTTAATAAATTATTCTAAATAAATGTGGATTTGGAATCAGAAATCAATATAATAATAAGTTATGAAAATGAACGTCTCTGTTGTTATAAATAAGCATCCGTCAAAAAATGAAATAACATTTTTAAGGTGTTACTTTTTACCAGGCTGTCTAATGCACATACAAAATTAAGGTTTTTAGTATTTGGAGCAATTATTATTAATCAACGCAAACAGTCAATTAATGTAGTTTGAATACTGGAATCATATTATTTTGTTCTCTTTTACAAATATTTAAACATTTTTTTTATTTTTTGATAACATAAACGAACTATATCGACAATATTAGTATCCGTACCATTTAAAAATTTGTTACATGTTTAAAAATAATCAAAAATGTCAATATTCCATGGGTATATTGATTTTTGAGGTCTAAATTATAAGAAAATGCATTTTCTACGAAAACCTGAAGACATAGGTAAAATATGATACAATACAATTTGATAGACAATTAAATTGTGCATCTGATTCTTGTAAAATATACCGGGTGTTCTATTTAAATTAAACAAGTTATTGCCGTTTATAGCTAATTATTATTTAAAATAAAATTTTAGACACTCTGTATAAGGTAGTATAATTTTTATTAATGAAACACAAAATTTAGTAAATAGACAATATCAGTACAATATTTGGTTTTAAAAACTTAAATACGCCTGGAGAAATAAAGCATTAAAATTATTACTGTATTTTGACAAAAACCTAAATATTTCAAAAAGGGTAAGATTAAAATGCGGTAAACCTTAATCAAATTTATCTTTATTTTAATCGTAGAAACTAAAAATGTAATAATATACAGGGTGTTCCATTTAAAAAATACAACTTTGATATTTTTTATTTATTTGGGCCACTCTGTATCTTGTAAAAATATTTTTAAATTGTAGCTCTAATAGTCCTTCAATGAACCCAAAACGTACAATTTGCAAAAATCTAAGAGTTTAGCTACGATACTCCGGGTCGTATGTGGTGAACAACCCTGTAGAGTGTTTAATATCAAAATTCATAAAATTTACAGAGAATTTATGTGTGTAATAAAAAATTGGGGCATCCTTTTAAAATAAGAAAGTTGCTGTCAACTTCCGATATTTTCGGAAGTGCCGCCATATAAAAAATATTTTTAATCGATAGATCTCGTTGTAAAACAATGAAGTGCAAAAAATCTCCTATCTAATTCTAAACAATTGTAATTATTTTCAAAGAAGTGCTTATTAAATTATTGAATCTTTTGTTTTAACACTAAGGCCCTTTCCTGCTTTACATAAATTTTGTCAAATTAAACATAACTTTATCCTCGATCGAGAAACACAAGAAGTTTATTTCTAATTGGTTAACTGGTCACGCTCTGATAAATTTACAATGCTTCGACATAATATCTGGAACAGCCAACAACAAAAAGTTTAGAGCGCAAGAAGTCAAGTATCCCCTTGAGAAGCGAAGAGTTTGTCAGTTCAATCCACCTAATAATTAATTAGAATTTACTGGCATCATTTCTTGCCCACGCGGTAGATTACAAATGACGTTTCCTATTGAAATGGTCGTTATTAATTACAAATGCTGGATGTGATTGATTTCCGGATACAATAGATTTCATTTCTCGTCCGCTATTGTATGATATGATCAAAAATAGTATGTTTTTATTTGAAGTAGACTTTTTCATTAGTAGGTATTTTATAAAATTAAATTAAGTAAATAATTTGAGTAGTATCTGAATGTAATAGATTACATCTCTGACTCTATATAATTAGTGTTTTTGAAATTTGTTTCTATATACAGAGTGATTCACGGCGATGCAAGGTTAGACGTTTATGGAAAACCAGTAATAGTTTCTTAAAAATTTGGATGTTTATATGGTCCACCTACCTAAATTACTTCCAGCACTGCAGTTTTGCAGCTTTATTTTAAGAGTAATAGTGTTTTTGCTATCTGAAATAAAACACCCGGTATATTATTACATCTTCCAAAACTATTTCCATTTCTTGTAATTTTCTATTATACCAAGTGAGTTTTAAATAAGTGAAAATATTTTTAGGGCTGGCAGATCTCGATAAAAGAAACATATTTTCCCTTTGCCGTTTTCCAAGTCCAAAATAACGGAGATATTTTATTTTGAAAATTAAAAAAAAAATATTTTCCCTTAAAATGTTGAGAACCACTGGATCTTTTCTGGCTTTCCTTTTGGAAATCTAATCTACTACCTATATTACCATGTTATCAAGGTATTATGTTTTTATCTAAAAATTAAAAAAAAATCCAAAAATGTCCTTTCTTTCCACTAGTTCTTTGTACATTACTTTAGTTTTTGCTAGATTCATTTTGTGACCCACTTTATTGTGTCATTGTGTATTCAGTTCATTAATCTGTAATTGTAGTACTTCAGGACCCCTTAAATTATTTGCACTTATTTCTGGGATACCCTGTATAAACAACACTTTCCACATACAATTTTGCCAAAGCCGCTCATGTTTCTACGAAAATATTCGGATTTTAGTCAATATATATCGCTCAAAGATATTATCGACGTTTTATTCTCAACTTCTAGCTTTTCATCATGTTGATTTTTCCATCCATATATTCGTATATCGACATAAGAAATTTAATCTTGATTCTTTGTCGCTGTTCTATATATTCTCCGTATGCGACTGTAAATAGTTTTGCTGAGGACACAGATCGATAGTATGTTTTATAATACATATATGTATATTATGCTAAAAATGGGAACTAAATATTTTCAAACAACTAAATATTTGTGGTTAATTACCTCACAAGGCTCTACAGTAAAGAGGAAGACGCAATCGAGCAGAAAGATACACCAGAGATAACTTCTAATGAAAACATACAAATAGAAAGTAAAGACATAGATATGGCGCTCGGACAATTAAAAAACAGAAAAAGTCCTGGACAAGACAACATCCCGAATGAACTACTTAAGAATGGAGGACAATCTCTAATCCAACAATAAACTAAACTAATGAAACATATCTTTCTCTACCAAGGAATACCTTAGTACCACTATCCTTATGTTTAAGAAGGGGGATAAAGAAAGGCCAGAAAGCTATAGGGGCATAAATCTTCTCAGCACAATATTAAAACTAACAACAAAAATAATAACAAACAAATTGAACAGCATTATATCTCTATCAGATGAGCAACAAGGATTTAGAACGGTTAGATCATGCACTGAAGCGGTCTTTGTTATAAGACAGATTGCAGAGAAATCGATTGAGTACAACAGACCAGCTTACATGTGTTTTATAGACCTGCAGAAAGCATTTTATCTGGTTCAATTAGAAGATGTTGTACATTTACTTTATGACAGGCAAATACCCCATAACTTAATTAAAGTCATAGAAAATATATACAGTGCTAGCAAAATCCAGGCTAATATCTACGTTGATCTTACTGAACGAATACCTGTAGAAATGCATACGACAAGGCGATTCATTAAGCTCACTTCTTTTTAATATAATCATGGACGAAATAATCAATGTAGAATGTAGAATGTTTAGGAGGGGAGTTAATCACCGTGACGTTATAGATCTATTTTGTGTTCCCCTTTCTTGAGTTATAACAAGTTATAACTCATCATACAGTCTCAGGGCTTTAACAAAAGCCAGTATCTGAGACGGCTCCACGGAGGCCAGCTCTCCAGCCTCGACATCAAACGTACCAAAGTTCATGGCACGAAAGGTCGTCGTCTCGGTGCACTCAGTGATAAGGTGTTCTGGTGTTTCCCCATTTTCCCCCACAGAATCTGCATTCGCCGTTGTTTCTCAGCTTCAGCCTACTGAGGTGTTCGTTGAGGAGACAGTGTCCTGTTAGAAACCCCGTGACAATCCGAAGATTGTTTTTACTTAAATCAAGGAAAACCATTGATTTTTCTCGGTCGTAAGTTCTGAGGAATTTTTTCGAGTGTCTTAGACCGTTGGAGGAAACCCATTCCAAGTTACGTATGGAGTCTTCTAGATTCTTCAGTTCCGCTTTTAGTTGGTTCCCGTTTGGAAAACAGAACGGTTCTGGTCCAGTTAGTGGAGTGTTCGCTCCTTTCCTAGCTAGATCATTTGCTTTTTCATTGCCTTCTATCCCTTGGTGAGCAGGCACGCAGAATAGGAGGACTTTATTTTCTTTGCCTAATTTGTTGAGCTTCTCTAGGCATGTTTTGACCAACTTCGAATTGATGGTTACTGAGTTGATCGCGTTAAGTGCTACTTGGCTATCAAATAGGATGACAATTTCCTACGAAACAATCAAACAAGTGCGCAATTTAAATGGATACAAAATAGGAGACCGCAATATGACAATTCTATATTATGCTGACGAAAAGACTAGTATATCGCTTCAATCTAGTAACAAAATCTTATAACATGATAATCTCTGCATCCAAAACAAAGAGTCTGGCAAAATCAAAAATACCTATCAAATGCAAGATCGTGGATAACACAATAATACAGCAAAAAATGAAATTTAAATACCTTGGTATAGAGTTATCCGGTTATGGCGATATCGAAACAGAGGTAAGACTGCAAACAACAAAAGCAATGAGAGTGGCTGGATGTCTGAACGACACAATATGGAAAAATAAATACATAGGTGTCGAGGTTAAGTCAAGAATATACAAGGCTGTAGTCAGACCTACAAAGCAGAAACCAGACCAGATACAGCAAAAACAAAAAGATTCTTGGAAACAGGCGAGATGAAAATCCTTCGCAAAATCACAGGTAAAATGCTGCTAGATCTATCTAGTCTTCTGCTAGTTCTCTAGAAAGAAGGGACAACATAAGGGAAATATGCAAGGTGGATAGCATTAATGAATGGGTATTGAGCAGAAGACGCGAATGGAATGAACATATAAGCCAAATGGACGAGGGAAGAATAGTAAGGTCAGGTCGAGACAAATCAGCACTGGGAAGAAGAAGTACGGGAAGGCCAAGAAAAAGATGGTGTGATAACCTTACCATCGATTGAAACTATATGAATATGATCTGCCTAACACAGAGTAGGAAGAAGAAGAAAGAAGAACTAAATATTAAATCAAAATATATTATTCATATATTTAAAAAATAACAAATATGAATTTTTATAAGTGAAAAGTTGACCTGATGAATAAAAAGTAATTCCTGTTGATACAGTACAACTTGGTAATTTTTTTTAATATTTATAAAGTTGAATTTAAATATTTTTTGTCGTATCATATAAACATTTGATAATACCTTATTTTACTTTTGAGGTTAGATGAATATTTAGGTAGTATATTTTCTTGTAAGTTCTTCAAGTCAAATTTTCATTCAACTCGAAATATCCGTTCTACAAATATCTTTAAAAATGTTTTTATTTTTTTAAAGTTTAATGCCCTCTAACGGATAAACAAAGCACTTTTGTATAGAGGTACATTATGTCCAACAAACTAATTTTGATTCCAAAAATTCGTAGTAATTCTATGTCTACAGCATATTGGGACACTTATTAGATAATATACATAAATTATAAAAATCGATTTTGTTAAAAACGTATTGGCCACTTAACAGTTAAAATCAAAAAGGAAGTTGTTTGTCTCATTTAATCGACCATTTATGTAAATATGTTCCGCAAAAAGCAGAGAATGTGTGTGCCAAAATACAAGCCGGAAACCCTGTTAGCGTATTTAAACCGGACGAATATTTTATTGTGCCAAATTTACTGAAAATTGTTTTCAGAGTGACGTTGATGTATGCGCTCCATCGTTGGAAAAACGGTCAGTCGAAGCGGTTTGTAAAGTCAGATTAAAAAACAGGAGGAACAATATTTATTGCCGAAAAATATGCCAATAAATCCGGTTTGGTTTGAGTGTGAACGAGAATTATACGAGGATAAGAGGAAAAGGTATTTTTAAAACAATTTTTTTTTTCTGTCGATACGAAGTTTAGAATTTAAATAAGAGCCAAATCTATGTAAAACTAATAAATAGACTCTCTTCTGCAACGGTTTCTTTAAAAAATATATTGTGGGTAATTCTGGCTATACAGGGTGGTGGCGTCTCGAAAGCTCCAAGGAGAACGATAATTTATATGAAAATGAAATTTTAGCAGTATATGTAGGTTAACTGAAAGCATTTTATAAAAATATATAGAATTATACAGGGTGTCCCCAAAAAAAGTTACACATCAAAGTTGTGTTTATTTCTAATGGAACACTCTATGTATTAATCGATTTTCGGTTTCTAGAAAAAAAAATAAAGGTTAGTTTTATTAAAGAATCATAAACCAAAAAACTAAGGATTTTGGCATATTTCACATTTTGTGAAAACGAAGAGTAAATTTAAAAATTCGATAAACGCTACCTAAATTTTAATTGACCTTGTATAGCCTGATATTTAATTACAGTAACCATTGTATGTTAAACCATATTGAAATTTGACCCGAAAAGTTATACAGGGTGAGACAAAATTAATATGGAACATTAGTCACTTTTTAAAAAAATTCTAGCTTTTTATGTCATTTGTTAAAATTATTGTATGTATAAGGATAAAAGTACCACCAGTAGTACTATCTACCCTACGGATTTTTACACGATTGTCATTTGCTTTGGCATTAAAATGTGAGAAAGGGTACCAAATTTCAGGAAAACAGTTTACCAATGAACTTAAAAATAAACAAAATATATTATTTTTATTTAACCTTTCGAAGGCTGTAACATTTTCGGGAACCGTTTTAGGGCATATATTCATTTTTTCTTTTTGTTTTATAATAATATATTAATATGTTATCTGCGAAATCATCAACCGAAGTTAGATAGATTTTTTTGATACTCTGTATTATCGACTCTTCAATCCTTATTTTTAATTTTATATCTAATCAATAATAACAAAGGTAAGTTTGTCTAATCTAGTATAATAACAAATTTTACTCTATTACTGCATAAATAATTTATATCTTCTAACTAACCATAACATCAGCTATTGATTTATTTAGATAAAGGGAAATTTTTTAGAGGAATATAGATTATTGAAGCTCAAGCAAGCTTCAATTTTCATAGCTAAAAAAATAAATGATGCAATTTCACATATAAATTGCTTATGAGAAATTTATTTTATCATACATTATTCTTGCATGATCATGCAATTTTTTTTATTTTATTATATAATTAGATCAGAAAGTGTCACACACTTTAATAAAATAATATTTTGTTCTTTAATAAAATTCCGCTGAAAATTTAAATATATGTTTCATACACAATGTCATAATTTTTTTTTATTTTTTTTTTATTATTAATAAGGCTTCGACATCCAAGGTCATTTCGCCTATTATAGAGACATTACTTCAACAGTAAGTATAAAATAATAACAAAAACATATTATATAGGTATAAATGTATAAATAAACATCTTAATATAAATATAAAAACAAACAGGTAGGAGTATAGGGTACAGCACAATTTTTAAGTATAACACGAACATTTAATATATACAAATATAAAAACGCACAAGTAAATAAATAAATAAATAATCAAATAATCTAATAAATAATATATAGGTATAAATGTATAAATAAACATCTTAATATAAATATTAAAACAAACAGGTAAGAGTATAGGGTACAGCACAATTTGATAAATAAATAAATAAATAGAACAAACAGACAAACAAATAAATAATTTGCATAGATACATAAATATCTAGATTTTCAAATTTCGGTAAACAGATTTACAGCTTTTAAGAAGTTTAAACAATTAGCAATTGACTGTTTATCTTTTAAGTTTTCTCCGTATGGTCTCACGAGATTAAACAGGTGTCTTTGGGGTTCATACCTTGGGCAATCACAAACAATGTGTTTGACTGTCAGTCTGACCTGACAATCCTCACACAGAGGTGCATCTTCCCCAGTAAGTAGGTGTTTGTGCGTCAGTGCGGTATGACCAATGCGAAGTCTGTGAGTCTTGGTTAAACTGGTTCGATCTAATTCAACACGTAGATATTTACCATAAGCCAGTGGCTTTATCCTATATAAATTCTTGTTTGATTTTGCCACCTTTGTTGCCATTCGTTCAGAATAATAGATTTTAGATAAGCTTGGTAATCGGAAGGTTTAACCATTCATCTACTACATCTTTTATACTGGCTTCCTGTGCAGCATTATCCACTTTTTCGTTACCAGCTATTCCTACATGGCTTGGAACCCACAATAATGTGAGTTTATAACCTCTCCTTGTTAGATCGTGAATCAATATTTGGATATTTTGTGTCATAGGATCTTTAGTAAATATATCTAAGAGACTTTCTAAGACGCTCTTTGAGTCACAAACAATTAGACATTTAGAGGGACCATTCGATAAGGTAAGGAAAAGCAGAGCCTGCCAAAGTGCTAATTGCTCTGCATAATAAATTGTGGAGATATTACTTAAGGTCCAAGAAAAAGTCTTGTCCTCGGTAGCGAAAGCGCACCCGACGCCATCATTAGTTTTGGATCCATCCGTGTAGATGACGAAATCTACATTCTCTCGATTCTTAATATCGAGGAAGCTCTGCTGCCAGTGTTTATTTGAGATTTCACCTTTTTTAAATTGCGCCAATTCGAAATTTATTACAGACGGAGGACACTTCCAAGGAGGAATTTCACTTGACTCAAGGCGTAATAATTGAGGTGGGTCTACTTCTCTAATTCTCAGATACTCCCTATACCTTCCAAAAGCTGATCTACTGAAGGGGGGATGGTTTTCAGCCTCTCTCATACATATTTTATTATAAGGATGTTCACCCAGGGCTAATATTTTTGTTATGTAATTTGACAACCGTATTTTTCTTCGATCTTCTAAAGAGGGTATGTTTGCTTCACAATACAAACCTTCAACGGGGCTTGTTGGGAATGCACCTAAACAGTACCTCAAGGCCGCATTGTGAATACTATTCAGTATGTTTAAGCTAGATTTGCAGGCTGATCCATAGACAACACAGCCATAATCAATTCGTGACAAAATCAGCGACTGGTACAAAGTGAGAAGCATCTTTGGTTCTGCACCCCATTTTGTGTGAGACAGAACTTTAAGAATATCTAGGGATTTCATGCATTTTTGTTTAAGTGATAATATGTGCTGTTTCCATGTATGCGTGGAGTCAAATATTATGCCAAGAAATTTTATAGTTCTAGGACATCTAACAGGTGTTTCTTCTAAGTACAGTAATGGGTCATAATGAGGTCTTCTAAGCCTACAGAAATGCATACAGCTTCTTTTCTCCTTGAAAAAGTAGAATCAACTGATCTGGCTTGTTTGCAAATTTGATTTATCGATGGCTGCATCTTACGTACGATATCACCAATTGTTTTAGCTGAGCAGACAATCGCCAAGTCATCAACATATAGAAACTTAGTTACATCACTATGTAAGTTGTCGGCTATTTCATTGACAGCCATTCCGAACAATGTGCAACTCAGTGTAGACCCCTGTGGTACTCCGTTCTCCAAAGTCCTTTTGGTAGATAAAACATCACCGAGACGAACATAAAAAGAGCGATTTGTTAAAAAGGAAGAGACAAATTCGGGTAAGTTTCCTCTCAGGCCATATTTGTGCAGATTTTTTAAAACACCATATCTCCATGTCATATCATATGCCCCTTTAAGGTCAAAGAAGACAGCAACCACAATGTCATAATTGCATAATGGCATGATAAGTATATAAAAAATAGCCAATATCGATACACGAAATAATACAGTAGTCAAAAACTTCATATTTAAAAATATATAATAGATAATAAAAATATATTATACTAAAAAGACTAGGAAGGTTATCAGCTTGCCAAAATAAAATCAGTTTGAGATTTGCTACCTACTTAACACTGCCAAAATAAAAAATAAGAGATTAATACTAGGATAACATGGCAATCAGGTCCACGTCGGTTATGGAGAGGCTCATTTTCAGGAGCCATTTTCTAATCTTCTAATATTCCGGTTGGATTATTTTTATAAGAAAGAATATAAAGGGAAATAATGCCTTTAA